AAGTGGGAGTCTTCCATGAAAGATGAGATGGACTCGCTTATGTGAAATCAGACGTGGGAATTAGCTGAATTGCCACCATGCAAGAAAGTGCTCCATAACAAGTGGATTTATAGGATCAAAGAAGAACATGATGGGAGAAAACGCTATAAAGCAAGATTGGTTGTAACACCCCAACTCGTATCCGACCCGAATACGAGTCCGAGATGTCACATTGACATTTTAAAACGATATTCTTATAAAATATCAAAACATTTGAACTCATTTTAAGAAAATACAACAATATTCTATTAAATTATGTTTCAGTATAAAAATTCAAGTCAAAAACGTATTTATGAACAGTAAAATATGGTATGAATAGTATTGTGAACAGTACCATGAACAGTGAAATATTTCGAATATCAATTCTGTATCGATGCACTGCTACAGTAATGCTACAGTAACTTTCGTAAAAATATGTATAAATTCATAAAAACTTAAGCTTCCATCCGTATAAAATTACCATTTACATATTGCATAACACATATACTATATTCACATACTTCATTATCATTGGACTTATTTCCCTCTATTACATTAAAACATAGATATGAAATCTTATGTGTCGTATCAATACTATTTGTTCATATAATCTCCTTTATTTCATCCAAAATCTTAAGGCTAAGAATCATACCAAATTTTTCATGTAATCCAAACTTATTTCTAACACTTATAACTTATTATTCACACTTATGACAAGTCAAATCCAACTTTCAATTCTTATTATGAACTTTATTTCAAGATTTCATCTAAGAACCCCTAATATTTAATCTCTCATATACCTTTCATCTTGTTGTTTAGAACAAATTAAGCTTTCCTTAAGCTTAATTAACACCTAAAGAATCAAAACCCTCTTGAAATTTCCAGAAATTAACACTAAGAAAATCAACTCACCTTGGCTATGAGGCTTCACGGTTGGAAGAAGAGAAGAAATTGAAGAAGATAAGCTGGAAACTTATCTCCTCAATTATGATTCACATGGGTATTATAATACCCACTAACCATTATTTAATTATTTCCTTGTTAAATAACCATTTTGCCCTTTCATTCTTTTAATAATTACCAATAACCCTTCAGATATTATTTTAAATAAGTCATTGAACTATTCAACTTTTCCACTTTAAATCACCAAATTCTAAAATTTTATAATTTAGTCACTAACCCGGTATTGAAGATGTTATATTGGTTGTCAAAGGTTTTCAACAAAAAGAAGGTATTGACTACAATGAAATTTTCTCTCTAGTCGTAAAACTGTCTACAATTAGACTGGTGTTGAAAATTGTAGCTGCAAAGAATCTACATCTTGAACAGTTAGATGTGAAAACAACTTTCCTTCATGGTGATTTGGAGGAAGAAATCTATATGAGGCAGCCAGAAGGCTTCATAGAGGCAGGCAAGAAAAACCTGGTATGCAGGTTGAAGAAGAGCTTGTATGGTTTAAAATAAGCTCCTAGACAGTGGTGCAAGAAGTTTGATAGTTTCATGGGTAGCAGTGGTTTTACCAGATGCCAAGCATATCATTGTTGCTATATCAAGAAGTTTGACAACAACTTCATTATTTTATTGTTGTATGTTGATGATATGCTCGTTGCAGGCTCAGACATGCAAGAGATTATAAACTTGAAGCAAAAATTGTCGAAGCAGTTTGCTATGAAGGATATGGACGCTGCAAAGCAGATTCTTGGGATGAAGATTAAGAGAGACACAAAGTCGGGGACTTTGATGTTATCACAGGCTGAGTACATCAACAAAGTACTCTCCAGGTTTAACATGCAAGATGCTAAACCAGTAAGTACACCTTTAGGTGTTCCTTTTAGACTCTCCAAAGAACAGTCACCAAAAATGGAGGAAGAACGTGCACACATGGCGAAGGTGTCGTATGCCTCAGCAGTTGGAAGTCTGATGTATGCCATGGTTTGTACTATACCATATATTGCTCATGTAGTGGCAGCTGTTAGCAGGTACATGAATAATCCGGGCAAGGTACATTGGGAAGCAATCAAATGGATCCTCAGATATCTGCGGGATACTACAAACAAAACACTTTGTTTCAAAGGTGGAGATACGATACTGACAGGCTATGTAGATGCTGACTTAGCCGGAAATGTTGACATCAAAAGAAGTACTAAATGGTATGTCCATACTCTAGGAGTAACTGCAGTAAGTTGGGTTTCTCAACTACAGAAGATAGTTGCTCTCTCCACAACTGAAGCAGAATATATCGCTGTTACAGAAGCCAGCAAGGAGATGGTTTGGCTCCAAAGTTTCTTGGAAGAGTTAGGCAAAAAACAAGAAAACAATGTTTTATATTGCGACAATCAAGTGTTATCCATCTAGTAAAGAATTCGTCTTTTCATTCCAGGACGAAGCATATACAATTGCGATATAATTTTATCTGGTCTCTTCTGGAAAATAGGATTTTGAAACTTGAAAAGATTAGTGGGGCTCAAAATCCGGCAGACATGTTAACTAAGACGGTGACTACGGACAAACTGAAGTTGTGTTCAGCTTCAATTGGTATGCTAGAGTAACAAGACCACAAATATTGCTTCATCGATCGAGGTGTGAAGACAAATTAAAATCAGTCTTCAAGTGGAAGATTGTTGAAAAAGTCAGCAAGGTGGGCTTGGTTTTTTTCAACAAAGGGTAGGCACCGGATTGTTGGAAATTCAACAATGTTTGGCACCGAATGGTGCTTATTTCAAAGGTTAGAAATTTTGTGTTGAAAATGGTAATGTGTAAATTGTAATTTAGTCATTGCACTTTAGGGTATTTTCAAATATTAGTCCATAAGTTTCAACTATAAATACTCTTACCCATTTAGCTTCTAAATCATCCTAAATCATTTCTTTCTCCCAATACTAGAAAGTTTTATTGTGAGTAGTGAGTGTTTTGTAAACACATGTAAATTTTCTCTCTTTAGTAAAAGATTTGCAGCAGTCCGGAGACGTAGACATAATTGGCTGAACTCCGTTATCAATTTCATGTATTATTTTTCCGCTTTTATTTCGCATTCTCACTAATCTGGTTATAGGTTCTCGTTTATTTCCCAACAACTTAAGGGATCTAGTGCTTCATCTTACTAGACAGATCGGTTATTGGTATTTTAAATCTATTTATAATAGCATCTTTAGAAACTTGATGAGAATGCTCAGACAAATGATAATGCTTTCCACCAACTCTGCTTCATATCCAATTCCTTTTGATTAACCAGCAATGCCGATTAAGACTATGCATTCTCATGCGCAGCACAAGTCAAAATCATCACTTGTTTTCACTCAGTACCTTTGTCCTTTTTAACAAAGATTGTGGACGGTGCCGGTGACTGGGAGTCGATGTTAAGCAATTTTCTTTATGTGACGCCACTCTCCTCTTGACGCACCCTCACCGGCAAACAGATGCAGACCATCCATAAAACTTGGATTATTATGCTAGGATTTTGACCAAACGACCGGTTCATAACTGGGTCAGATTTTGTCAATGATTCAACATCAACGTGGTGGGCTCACTTTCACCCATTATTAAGTCCAACAAAGTACAACTTTATGTTACAAGATAAAATTTTATCATTCATAAAAGTTTAAAAAGAAAAAATTAATTATTAATAAAAAAATATTTTAAAATATAAATAATAATTTGAATTTTAAAAAAGAGATGCTACTATCTCTGTGAAATATTAAAATTTATTTAATTATTGTCAACTATATATTGTATTTTTTTCATATACATCTTAACTGATAATACTCGCTTAAACATGAGTTTAGGCATCTAAGTCCATCTAAATTTATGATCTCTAAGGATCTTTAATGACATCAACATAAAATTTTAGAATTAGGGATTTATTTAGGTCATTATTTTTCTGAAAATTTTAACTGATTTTTTTAAATATTAAATAATTTATTAACTGTTATATTAGCATGAATACCAATTAACATCGGTTTAACAATCTATTTGATTAAATTTTACAGTTGGAGAACTCAATTGGATGGAAAAGTATAATATTTTAAATAAACAAAATTAAACTCAAATTCTATTTTATATTGTTGTACCAGAAAGAAATTATGTTTTATATTGTTTTGAACATTAAAATATTAAAGTGATGTTATTTTAATGTAACATCTACAAACGGAAATTAAATTCAGTCTCATAATTGATTTAAAAATCTAATATAAAAAATAATAATCGTTGTAGTTTATATAAATTTAAATTAAAGGGTTAAATTATGATGGAAATGTTAAAGAAAAATGTTATCGGAAATGTGAATATTTTTTTAATATTTTTGATAAAACGTTACCTAAAATATTTTTTTTACAAAAAATGTTAATATTAGACGCTACCTAAAATGTTTAATATTTCTGATAAAACACTACATAAAATATTATTTTTTTATTAAAAATGTTAATATTGAATGCTACCTAAAATGTTATTTTTCTTACAAGAAATTAAGTAACGAAAATAATATTTTCAGTAAAAAAAATATTTTTAAGAATATTTTACTAAAATTATTAAAAAATATTAATATTTTTTATATAACCTTTACTTAATTATATATTAAAGTTACCGAACAACAAAACTACCCATCACGGTGACAGTTGAATATAACTGATGGATCACTTCAAAAAAAAAAAAAGAATATAACTGATGGAATTATATACATCTCTTTTGCCATCATCAATCAAAAAAATCACAGAATTTACAGCAGTGATTAAAAGCCACTTGTTTTTTTTTTCCTTCACGAATTCACTACTCTCAGAGTCTCGACCTTTATGCTATGCCTCTAGCCCGATTCCAACCCGGTACCACTTGGTGGAAAACTCGCCCACCTTTTTCTGCCTCCATGCATTCTCCGAAGCTATCATATAATTGACTCGGTTCATTTCCCCCCCCCCCCCCAAAAAAAAAAACAATTCAAACCATTGCAAAAAAATCCACCTTCTCAACTATGGTAAACCCACTTGTTTCAACAATACGAGATTCATTGTTCACTCGAGCTAACTCGGAAGTGAGTATTAAAAAAACCCCCGGGAAAGAATCAGAACACATTTCCTCTCAGTTTTTCTTTTTCCAGAATTACCAGATTGTTTCCTCAGCAAACCCATGAAGTAAAGGACGGGATTCGGTCCACAAATGGCAGTAACCTTTGAAATCGTCGATGTTTACGAACCTACCGGAGTGCCCCAAACCCGAACGGGAGATAAACCGCATTACTTCTTCGAAGACGGACTCGTCGCAGGGAATTGACAATGGGCCTTGGTTACTGAACCCGTACTCTTCCTCCACTTGGACGAGAAGCTTCTTGAAGACGGGATGGCTCAGGTACGTCAGGCGCACCACGAATCTTCTGCAACTCGTCCCCACATAAACCGCCACGTGTCCCGCCGGCACATCGGACTGGATGCGGCCGGTCGACTTTAGGGTCTTGTTCCTCCACCGCAGCAGCATTTGGCGAAGCCTCACAATGTGGCGGATTTTGCTGCATTTTCCTAGCACCACAGACATTTTCCCGGAAATTGAGAAATATCGAATGAAGTGTTTGATTTGATTGAGAGAAAACAAATTTAGAGAATATTTTTTTAAGGGGAGATCGAGGAGGCTTTTATAAAAATGGGACTCCGAAAATGCCCCTAAAGTTTGAGACAATTACACGCCTTATTTTTGGGTTGTTGATAAATCAATTAAGTTCTCAAAATTGTCTTTTGACAATTAACCTACAATATAAATAAATATCTAAACTTGAAGTTTTTAGATTTTATTTAATAAAACATAGTAACATTTCCTTTTAAGTTTTTAGATGTTATAATTGATAATATTAACATAATTAAATTTTGGTTGATAAAATTATTTAAGTTAAAAAATTATTTTAATTTATATTTAAATAAATTCATATTATCAATAAATTTAACTTGAAACAAAAAATAGTTATTTATCTTTTAACAAAGAGATAATACCAGTTTAATGTAAGAAACAATTAACTAAGGCATAATGTCAGTAAATGAATTGTCTGTTCATCTCAGTTGGTAGAGCACAAGGCTCTTAACCTTGGGGTCGTGGGATCGAGTCCCACGGTGGGCAATTCATAATTCTGAGGTCTTCCACGGAAGTTGCTCTCAATCTGGTGTTGGGGGTAGTCTACTATTATACCTCCCCTTACCCCATTACATATGGGAATAAGGGTCAGCTAATTTTATAATGTCAGTAAATATAAGAAAATAATTAAGGATGTGTTTAGGTGAGAAAAATTCAAAGTTTTAAACATTTTAAAATGAGTTATTTTAAAATACTAGCATTTATGATTATTTTGCTTAAATAAATACTTATTTTAATTAATATATTAGAGAAATAATCATTTCAAACTCACAAAATTATAATAATTTAAACTTGTCTAAATAATTAAAGGGTAAAGTACACAAATGGTCCCATGACTATAGGATATTGTTTTATTAAGCCCTTTTACTATTACAAGTTATAAAATGGTCCTTTGACTATAGAATTTTGCTTTGTTAAATCCGTTGACTATTAAACGTTACAAAATGGTCACCAAATATTCATTATGTTCCAAACACGACCTTTTCCATTAAAAATTTATGGTTATTTAAGTTGGACGTTGACATGATGACTGGGATATGATAGTCATTCGAGATTCTAATATAAGATTTTATCATATCACAGTCAACAGGTTAATAATACCATCCATTTTTAACAAAAAATAATGAGTTTGGAACATAATGAATAGTCAGGTGTCCATTTTGTAACTTTTAATAGTTGAGGGACTCAACAAAGCAACACTCTATAGTCGGAGGACCATTTTGTAACTTTTAATAGTCGCTGGACTTACTAAAGCAATACCCTATAGTTGGAGGACTATTTGTATACTTTACTCATAATTAAGAATGTTAGAAAATGATGAATTTCAAAATATTAATATTTAAAAAGTAAAAATTTCTCATCTGAAAACACACTAATATATTTAAAAAAAATATATCGTATAATTTATTGAAAGTTGGAAATTCCTTGGTTGACTTTTATGCTCCCAATTAGATACTTGTCATGGTAAGCCAAATTTGACCCTCCAAATAATTAAACCGATAATCAATGATTACTTGTCATAGTTTCTTTAATTAGTTCTTTGTCGAAATGATTATATCTTCCCAATATAATGGTCAAATGAAGTAAAATTGAAATTCAAAGGAGTTGGACCGTCTTTTTAATGGAGTTCAATTTTCATGTTATTTACGATGATTGGACAATAATTTGGTTAGAATTGTTGTGATACTTACCACATTGTATGTTTGAATGCATTTTACAATTAATTTATAGGTTTAAGAGGTTGTCATTAATCTAGAAAATATTTTTATAACAATTTGAATTTTTTGGCTTATTTTAAATCGTAGTTAAATAAATTAATTTAAGTGCTGGACCAAATTTAGGCGTGAAGGGATAAGAAGCTGGGTCAAATTAAGTTGAATAAGGGAACTTTTTAGTTTTAGAGAAAAATTGAAGGACTAAGGTGGTAGTTTCTCTATCTTTTAAAATGATGCCGATGCTACTTGATTTACCTCTTATTTGACATGGGAAATGGGGAAAGGCTATAGAGAAGGTGAAACTCCCATTTCCCATTCATTTTCCTTCTCTTTCCTTCCTAACTTATTCTTCAATTCAATATATTAGCTTCTTGAAGCAAGCTTGTCATCCTATGTTCTTTGAAGGTAAGAAAATCAAATGGCATGATTTTAGCTCCAATTCAAGCTCTATAGTAAATCATTGTTTTGTTAAGGAGAGTAGTGAATCCTCTGAAACTAGAGAAAAAGAAGAAAATATATAATTTGAATTCACAATTTCCTCTCTGATGATTTACATTAAGATAATACATTTCTAACTTTGAAATGCATTTTGTATATCCTAAATGTGATTGTTGTGAATTTTGTGTTGATGATTATTGTTTGTTTGAGTGAGAGCATGTTTAGTGGATAACAGGCAAAAATTTTGTAATGAATTGTTATAAAATGTGTTAAATGTACCTACATTACTTCTATGAGCTTCAGTAATGGACTATTACTTCTATAAGCTTCAGTAATGGACTATGGCTCTAATATAAAGGGTTTAAAGAGAATTTAATATGTTTATCGAGCTTAAAATATATATTTTTGGATTAAAGTATAAATATTCATTTATATGGTATCAAAAACATACAAACATGAGATTAAATAAATTATTTTGGTAAGAGAATATCGATACTCATGCTTGAAGTATCGGTATTACTCATCCACTATTGATATTCAAGTGATAAAGATCGAAATTTTGATATTTTAATATCAATTTAGTATCTATACTTAAGTACCGATACTCTTGAATCGGTATCAATATTGGAGGAGAGACAGATACTCTTGGATTGTGATATTTTATATTCACAAGTTAATTATTTTAGTTTGTGTTGGAAGAGTATTATCAATAAGAATTTTCAGTATCTCTAAATTCAGAGTGTCATATCTTATATTCTTTTGCGGGTCATATATTTGTACGACTTTATTGTATTTTAGGTTTGTAACTCTGCTGATATTTTGTTATATAATATTATAACTTAGAGCTCCACATTTAGTATAATATTATTTTATAAACATATGTTACAATTTTTTTTTAATTCAGATGAAATCAAATGAATGTTTTAAGATTTTAAATATTTAAAAAAAAATTGTGAGTCACTATGATGACTTAATGTAATGACGTTGAACAAATATTAACAGATTATTAAGGATGGATCTACGATTTTATGTTGAAGGACTTGTAATGTGTGGTGAAACAAATTGAAGACTCGACAAAACCCACCACATGCAAAAGTAGATGTGGAAGATGCTTTTGTTTCCTAAACCATTTTGTAAGCTCCATGTACTCCTTTTCTTTCATTTCTTTACAAAATATTATGTGGATAAGGTATAGCAATATAGCATTCCTTTGATCAAAACGAAATTCATTATGTGTTATGAGAATCAACATAAAAGGTTTTCAAATAAAAATAATCAATCATTTGACGATACATGGGTCCACGTGCATGTTATGGGGAGGTAGGGTGCATCCCCCCGAACGTCATACTACGTGCACGTTAAAAGTAAAGAAACAACCCCCACTTGCTACCATTTTAGGATCATCTCATTTATTTCCTCCTTTTCGCAGTGTCATCCCCCGCATAGATTCTGTAATTATTTGGAAAAAGAAAAACACATCTTCTTTATAGATCATACAACATAAATTTGTTTCGGTGATGGCATGGAAGACCGATAACCTTTTAAATGGAGTCATAAGGTTTAAAAAATATTATATGGATTTTCTTCATCGTGTTATTTATGACCTCTCTAAATCCATTCTTGAGAATATACTTAATTTGTTTTTATGTCATTATGTTACATGTATACATTAATGTACGTATAATATATGATGGGTTGATAAGATCATCATATATACTATTTGAACTAGATGATATTTTTCAAACATTATCTTTAAAAATCATACTTAAATATTTATATGATATGAATGAAATATAAATTATATACCGAAAAGACTACACGCATACATTTAACTTATATGTCTAAAATTTCATATCAAAGCCAGAATCAAGAGAAAAGGGCATTAAGAAATTAGAGGGCTAAATTTCATATTAACATCAAAATTAGGGATAAAAGGGTACCTTAACCCTAAAAATAATAACTAAAAAAGAGAGAAAAGTGCATATGGATCCATCATTAATTAAAGAATAATTGCAAAGGTTATTGATTTGTGGCGACGACAAGGGGAGAAGAAACGACAAGAAAAGGATAAAAAGGCAATGAGTTGAGTACTTTATGGAAGGAATGAAGTGTGTTTTTGGTTACTGGTTTAGTTACAACCGAAAGTCTTTTTTTTCCTCGTGAATTTGTACTAATCTCTGTCTGTTTTCCCTAGAGTCATTTTCACTCACATTCCTATATCACCAAAGCTTTATTGGTTAAATTCTGTCGGTAATTCCTAATTATTAATAACTTGTAAGTTTAGTCGTTGAAATCGAATTTGATCAATTTTACTCTCTCTATATATATATATTTCAATTTTAAAATTTCAATCATGATCTGATATGAAGGCAACTAAATTATAAGGATTTAAATTGATCGAATTGAAAAACTAGCACTAAACCTACAATTTATATATACTATAGATTGAATCAAACCACCTCGGTGGTAAAGAAATTATTGTTATTTCTTGAGATCTCGGAGCACCATGAGTGCGAATGTCAGATGGTCAAGAGTGTTCTATGAACAAATAATGTCCAAGTCCCTTGTACTTACCCCAAATTATTCCAAAAAAATATATATCAAAATTTCTAGCATAATTTGACTTATCAAATTTAACTAATGTTATTTGATTTATAAATAAAATTTCAAAAAAGCATAGGAATTAAAAATAATTAAATTAGAGTATATGGATTAAATCCATCACTAACTCATAACATATGGACTAACTTGGGGTTTGTGTTTTAACAAAATTGAATTTAATATATTATTTTTATGAATAAAGCAACATTTAGTCCCTAAATTTGACAACTGGTCCCTAAACATAACATTTTTTCTAATCTGTGTCCCTTTGGTCCACATTATTTCCAAAACTCGGTAACTTCTCTCAACTTAGGCCATATGCTTGGATTCCGTCACACATTTTAGTCCTTACGAAAACCAAATTTATGGATCAAATTGAGAAACATTGCCAAGTTTCGAGACCAATATGAACCGAGTTGGGAAAAATTGCTAAGTTCCGCAACTAATGAGCACAAAAAGAATGTAAAAAACCAAATTTAGAAAAACTACGAAATTAACTAAAAATAAATTAATTAGAGGTTTTTATATAAGTTTCCTTCCATTCAAATGTATAGTAGAAATAAGGTATTTTTGCAATGCATTAAAAATTTAAACATACACCAAATCAAAATCCAAAATCATATAATAAAAAAAATATGTTATATAAACGCCAAGCCGTCCAAAATTTATCTATTATTTTCAGAAAATAAAATGAAATTGCTAGTTGTCTTTGCATTTTCTACGGTTCTCTAGCTGCCTTTTTTCTTCTGATCTCCTTCAAAATGAGTAGACGAATTCAATGGGAATTAATTAAAAACTAATTCTCCATTATAATTAGAAACTACTACTAATAATTCCACACAGTATACATAAATATATAATATTTATCTTAATCATCGCATCGGATGATTGGAAATATTCCTTCTTTAGCTTATGCTTTCTGCCTCGTTTTTTCAAGCAACTTCTCCCTAAGATTATAATAATAATAACGAAAGAAATTATCAAGTATTATGTTTAATACAATAAGTTATTTTTTTAAACTCATTTAAAATGTCTACTGTGGTATTTATATTGTAACAAAATCTATTACGATACATAAGGTTAACATCATTAATATTAGAACAATAGCATCTTAAAAATACTCTCAACAATAAATAATGTTGAACTTAACCTAAGGTGGTGTTTGCTTCACGGAATGTAAGATTACATTTGGGAATAACATTACTGGAATGTAACATTACTATGGGAATATTGTATTACCTTGTTTGGTTTATTTAGCAGGAATGTAATATTGCAGTGTTTGGTTGAAGGAATATAAGATTACTTGGATACATATTTTACCAAATTATCCTTGTGATATATTTTTTTGAAGTTAAACTTTAATATTAATTTATAAATATTTGAATGAAAATTCATGAAAATATTTTAATCATTATACTATAACTTTTGAGGAGAAATTACATTTAATATATAATTAATATAATTAGTGTATTAAATTTATATTTTTAAATAATGTTCATAAGTATCATATTTATTTATATAAAATATAATATAATATAAAAAATAATATTATGGTAGTAAAATATTATTTTAAATAATTACATTTTTATAATAATACTATTTTTTTTCATCCCATAAAATTATAAATAGTAAAATATTGAATATTAAAAATATAAAATATTTTTAATTCTCAAAATTATTAATATTTTAGTAAATCAAACTCTTTGTATATTATTATTATTTTTATAATTTTGTGTAAAGTATAAAAAAACAAGAATTTAGAAGGATCATTATAAAAAGAATTCATTAGTCCAATGATATTCTTGTCCAAAGTGATGAGAATGTAAGATTACTTAAGAATTTGGAGATAATGATATTTCCACCATTTTCACAAAAAAATAATATTATTGGGAAAAGAGTATTACCGATAATATAAAATTTCGTGAACCAAACGTGATAATATAATTCTGAAAAAATATTCCCTGATAATTTAAGATTCTACGAACCAAAAACACGCATAATTAAGGTAAAATGACAGCCGGAGCATGTTACAAGCCCGGATTATACGGAGAGAAAAAAAGGCTGTCTTAATGCTTAATTCTTTTGTGGTTAAAATAATCAGCCATCACTTGGGTGTTTGATGGGACCAACTTTAAAACCCACTCTTGCCTCCTTTCCTTCATCGTGTTGGGCGAGTGATAAAAAAAATTGTCTCTCTGTGGCTTTTAAATAATATTTCGACTTTTAATGTTGATAATGAAAAAACAATACATGAAGAATTTTACATCTCGGTTAAGAGTCTAATCTAGCTCGATATAGAATATAATCAACAAGACATCGATAAATATCGAATAAAATAAAATAAAAATCTATTTGTATAGATGAATGTATAATATGTTGATTTGTGATAGAAACCCCATACCCGATAAGTACAGAGGGTTATGTACTTTGCTGATCAAACCCTAAAACTCTCGAAATCCACCATACAAGACACTGATGGACCAACTAACAGCACTTTGTTTTTTGCTCAATCAAGATTTACACAAATCTGTGGGTGCATGATGCGTTTGTCCATTGATACGTATACCATGCTTGTCTTTATCTTTTTGGCTAAAGAGCTGCAATCCAAGATTATCATGGATTAAAATTTGATATCTATAACAAAACTCAAAATATCTCAAATTCGACAGTAATATGGCACGAATTGTAATCGAGTTTTTTTTTTTCATTCTGGGCGCACGATAGTTGGTTTTCTCTTAGCGTACGTTAGCAGGACTAATGGATCCTAGGTCGTCGGTGCTTCTCATGTGTCTTCTTTCCTTCGCCTACTATTATCACTTCTTCATCTATACCTGGGTGCTGTTTTCCTCACTGATTCATGGATTGGAGAAAACTTTTCGGCTATCAACAGGGGCACGAGCTTCAATTCTTCCCACCAAAATCTCGCGATTCCAACCCCATTATTCAGCCTCCTCCAGAAGTTTATAAAGCTGGGATTGCCGAATGGAGGACATCTCTCGTGGGTCAATTCCTTGGGGCTGCACCAAATTTCACTACTATGCAGAGGATCATTGAGAATCTATGGAATAACCCAAATAAGGGGATTCACATCCAGGTGAGTTTCGCAGGCAGTAACTTATATTTATTCACTTTCAATTCTGATTCTGCAAGAAATTGGGTTATGGAAAATGGTCCTTGGCACATATTAAACATACCTTTAATCTTAAGGAAATGGGAACCTAACTCAACTAGACTGCACTTTGATCTTTCTCGCATTCCCTTATGGGTTCATCTGTATAGTGTTTCGTTTGAATTATTTTTAAGAGAGGGTCTAAGTTATATTGCTAGTGCAATAGGAATCCCTCTTTCGATGGATTCTATCACAGCTTCAAAGACACGATTAGAATTTGCTAAAATATGTGTGGAGATAGGAGTAAATGATGAAATTCCTAAAACTATTGATGTAATCTTTGCTAATGGCCAATCTACTTCTGTCTACGTTGAAGTACCTTGGTTTCCTTCAAGCTGCAAACGATGCAATACATTTGGCCACAATGATAAAGGATGTTTGGCTAAAGCTTCTGGTGTTTCTAATCCTTCTCAAGTCTGGAGAAATAAAGGAGATTATCTTCCTTTAGCTCCTAACAACATTCCTATTAATATTGGTTCTACTCAAGACAATTCTTATTATGATCCTACAAAAGATTGTAATTCTTCAAAGGAACCTTCTAATACCTCTGCCTCTGAGGACCCCTCTTCATCCTCCCCGGTTCCTGTAGGGATTTTCTCTACCCATATCAATTCTGACTCTTATAAAGAACCACTAAATTCTTCTTTATGCCTTTTGGGCACTATTGTTGTGAATGATCAGTCTTCATCTTTACTTACAACATCAGAGGTTTCTTTACCAATCACTGTTAATGACCCCCTTGAAGTAGGTTCTCTTTCTCCTTCACCTTCAGAATTAGGAAATAAATCTGCTTCTCTTCCTAAAAGAGGTAGAGAAAGATCTGTCAAGATTAAATCAAAGAATGCTCTCAAAGGATCCTCCAATAGATTTGAGGTCCTTAGTACTGTTGACGAAACTTCTTCCTCCTTGGAGGATCACAATAGAAAACCAAGGTCTACTTCTTTGGGTGTGGCTTTATTAATCAAAGACCTCAAAAACAAAAAGAAAGAATATCTTATTAAAGCTAAAAGTCTTTCAGAAAGTGTCAATGGGAGTGATCTGGGCTTCTCTTCTCAATGATCATCATCTTTTGGAATGTCAGAGGATTTAACAATCCTCAAAAACAAAATAAAGTTTTGTAAAGAGCTATTCTTTACAAAATTGATGTTCTCTGCGTGATTGAGACCATAGTTAAATCTGATAAGTTCGATGAGTTATTTATGTCTAATTTTAGTAACTGGAATTGCTTCACTAACTATAATTCTGCATCCAATGGAAGAATTTGGTTTCTTTAGACTAAAGGCCTTAATCTCTCTTTCTGCCACTCTACTGCCTAAAGTATCACTGTCAAAGGTCTTTCTCAGGGTCAACCTTTTTATATTACTGCAATCTATGGCTACAATGATGGTTCACAAAGGAGGCTTCTATGGCAACACTTAATAGACCTTGATTCTAGTATTGGTTCTTTTCCATGGATCCTTGGAGGTGATTTTAACATCATCCTTCACCCTTCAGAAAGCTCTGATCATGACATTATAGGTCCATTTGTTTCCACTGATATGAAATATTTTCAAGATACTATCCATGACCTTCTCCTTCAAGATCACCCTTTCTTTGGTCCTACTTTCACCTGGAACAATAAACAAAAAGATTCATTCCTTGCTAGGAAACTTGACAGAGTGCTTGTTAATTCCAATTGGATCACAACATTTAAAAACTCTTTTGTGGAATTTGTAGTCCCTGGGCCATCTGATCACTGCATGGCCATTGTTTGACTTAACAAGGATTCTCTTGCTAATCACCCGAAACCCTTCAAATTTTTTAATTTCTGGACCAAACACCCATATTTTCTTCATGAAGTTCATAATTCTTGGCAGCAACCTGTCCATAGTAACCCTATGATGTCTCTGTTTCTCAAGCTTAAAAGATTGAAAACCATACTGAAGACTTTAAAAAAGGAATGTTTTAGTAATATTTCCACAATGGTCAAGCAAAAGAAAGCTGAACTTGAACAATTTCAGCTCTCTACTCTGCACAGAACTGGTTCCATTGACACTGAACTAAAAATTCAGACTGAACTGTCAGCCCTTGAAGCAGCAGAAAATCAGTTTTAAAAGCAGAAAGCCAAAGTTCAATGGCTTAAGGAATGTGATAAATGCACAAAATTCTATCACTCTGTCATTGCTTCCAAGAACAAAAGAGATACAATAAGAATCTTAGAGAATGAACAAGGTTGTAGGCTTGAGACTTTTGATGATATTTTCTCTGAAATCATTCTTTACTTCAAAAACCTTTTGGGAAAGGCTGACCCACTTGTCAGAGACAGTGACCATCAATCTTTTAAAAACCTTCTTTAATATAATTTGTCCCCTAAAAATTCTGCAGAATTGGATAAAGATGTCACTTCTGAGGAAGTTAAAGAAGCTATTTTTGTCAAGGTAATGACAATGCACCTGGTCCAGATGGTTTCACTAATTTCTTCTTTAAATTCTGCTGGTCAGTGGTTGGCGAGGATGTCACTAAAGCAGTCAAATATTTTTTTAGCAGTTCCTCTCTTCTGCCAGCCTTTAATTCAACCATTATTGCCTTGGTCCCCAAAAGTTCCAATCCTAGCAAGGTTAAAAGACTATAGACCAATATCTTGCTGCACAGTCATTTATAAATCCATCACCAAGATTTTGGTTAAAAGATTGACCACTATTCTGCCTGGAATCATCACCCTTAACCAAACTGCATTTGTTAAAGGCAGAAATATCATTGACAACACTCTTCTTGCTCAAGAGCTTGTCAAAGGCTATGGAAGGAAAACCATTTCTCCAAGATGTGCCATTAAAATTGATCTCCAAAAAGCATTTGATTCTATTCATTGGGGGTTCATCTCTTCTATTCTTGAAGCCATAAATCTGCCTTCTAAATTCTCTGCTTGGATTAAAGCTTGCTTCACTCAATCTAGATACTCTATCTCTCTTAATGGTTCTTTGATAGGTTATTTCAAAGGTGAAAGAGGCCTAAGACAAGGTGATCCCTTATCACCTATCCTCTTTGTTCTTGCTATGAACATCCTTTCTAATATGCTAAATATTGCTGCTGCCAGAGGCTTATTTGGATATCATCCAAAATGCAAAAAGCTTGGACTCACTCGTTTAACCTTTGTGGATGACCTCCTCATTTTCTGTAAAGGAAACTTAGAATCAGTCATTAGAGTTACCTCTCTCCTTAAAAAATTCTATGAAATGTCAGGACTTCAACTTAATGCAGCCAAATATGACCTCTTTGTTGCTGGAATTTCCCCAAGAAACCTTCATTATATTATTAATTCTACTGGATTCAAAAATGGTCTTCTTCCAGTGAGATACCTTGGGGTCCATCTTGTCACCAGAAAACTAACTGCTAACTCCTCTTATTGATAAAATTAGACTAAGAATTCATCAATGGTCTGGGAAACATCTTAGTTATGCAGGAAGACTTGAACTTGTCAAAACTGTCCTCCAAAGTATAGCAAACTTCTGGTGCAAACAATTTCTGCTTCCTCAAGGTGTTATCAATAAGATTAACCAGCTTTGTTCTAGATTCTTATGAAAAGGCACCGACTCTGCTGCCAATGGTGCAAGAGTAAGCTGGGGTAACATTTTTTACCCCAAATCTGAAGGTGGGCTGAGACTTAAAGACTTAAAAACCTGGAATAAAGTCTGTATGTTTCAGCTTATCCGTAACCTTCTTGCTGGTGCAGGATCCTTATGGATTGCTTGGATTTATACCTATGTTATTAAATCTAAGGTTTTTTTTCAGATGCCTACCAATGCTACTTACAGTTACTGTTTTAATAGGCTGCTCAACATGAAAGTCGAGGCCATCCCTATTCTCAATGCAGGAATTACTAAAAGCAGTGATATTTAGAATGAGGTTTGTATCAAAAAGGAAAAAGTTCCTTGGCACAAATTAATCTGGTTTCCCCTCCATGTCCCAAAATTCAGTATCATCACTTGGATGGTAATTCTTGATCGACTCCCCACTCGGGAAAGACTCATTCGAATGGGGATAACCACTGAAGGTTCTTGTGTATTATGCAACGAGGGCCTTGAAACAAGAAATCATTTATTTGCTGGTTGTGCTATGGTTGATTCTCTTTGGACTAGAATTCTGTATCTTTCACTCTTAACTAAGCCTCACATGTCTTGGGATATCAAGCTTACTTGGGCTTTTTCTTGTTGGAAAGGTAAATCTCTTCTTTCCTCTATTTTGAAGATTGCTTGGAGCTCTTTCATTTAGTTTGTTTGGGAAGAAAGAAATAGACGTCTATTTCAAGGTAGAGCTAGAACTATGGATGACTTGCTTATTGCTATTAAGGAGATTGTCGGTTCTCTACTTAGGAATAGAGAACTTAACAGACTTGATTTTGTTAATATGCATCTTTGTACTAATTGGGGTATTTAATCATTCTTTTGTTGTAATTAGCTTTCTTTGATCTTTGATTGAGTTGTAATGTACTTTTTCTATTGGATAATAAAATTTACTTATCCAAAAAAAAATATATTATCATGGATTATTTTTTTTTTATATTGAGTTCAGCTGTTTTATGTAATAATTAACGAAATTATTGCTATCTTGGAGTAACTTTTTTTTTTCTTCGTTCACTGACTAACATTCGACTTCTATCTCAAACCTTTAAGCAAGGGCAATGAGATTGATTCTTAAATAATAGTGGCAGTTAGGGTATTCAGATTAACTTATTATCGTTAATTATAATTATTACTTAGTCAAAGTATTAAGGTCAAACAGTAAAAATTCGTAAAATAAAACACTATGAAATTGTTATCACCACGTATGCATAAAGCTGTGTCTAATGCCTATTCACTTTAAGGGCTATGAAATTGTTATCACTACCAAGTTAAAATTGAATATTATATTATCATTTAATCTTTTTTTAAATTGAATCAAATTAAATCATAACCCCATTATCAACCCTGTGTCTATTGCCTATCCATGTTCCTGATCTGCCTCCTCCTCCTCCTCCTCCAACATCCAGCACTATATGCCCTAACCACAAACTCCTTCCACCGGCCCATGCAAAAATAATAAAAACAAATGATAAATTAATTATTATAAACACTAATTTTTGTAATAATAAATATAAAATAAATAAATTATTAGATAATATATATTAAAAAATTATTTTTAATTAGATTTAAATTTTATGTTAAGACATTAAATTATTTAATATAATAAAAAATAAAGTATTCTACATGTTAAAATTATGTCCGTAATCTTCAATTACGTATGAATGAGATGTTATAAAATGATATTTTATATTATTTTGTCTATAATATTTATAAACTAAATACTATAGTCCTATATCAAAATGGCATAGAGTTAAAAGTTAATTCTTGATACTTGTCTAAATGATGATTTTAGTTATTATTTTTTCTAAAGCATAGTCTATGTTAGATTAAAAGTGTTAGTTAACTAATAATCAACATATATTAATTTTTATATATTTAATTAATAATGTGATACATAACATGATATTAATATTTTGAGTGACGTGATATATCACATTATCACTTTAGGTAACGAGATACATATCACATTATAACTTTGGTGACATAATATGTGACAAACCATCCATTATACATATGTAAAAAATCATAATTTGACCAGAAAAAAATGAGAGTCTATGTGTAAGGGGGAAGCCCAAGAAGCAGCTTGAGTGTCGGCCCACCCCTCACACAAACATCGATGCAAAGGTGCTCTCTCTCTCGATTTGAGGCAGTACCAGCCAAGCCTAAGAGAATTATAATGGGGAAAAAAGGAAGAAAAGAACGAAGTTCCTATTATTAGAGACAGACTGAAGGGATGAAAGAGAGGACCTCCTTTTTAAAAAATTTAAACTAATATATATTTAAATATATTTTTATATTTTTAATCAATAATTTATTCTTATCTTTTAAAATTTTAAAAATGAGTTCCTTTTAATAATTTTATATAAAATGATGCGTGAGTGTATAATTTTAACCCATGTCCCCTTACATCCCTACATCTTACCCTGCTTCCTATGTTTCCTTTAAACCACGCCTTCCTCG